ATATATTGTCTAATTAGTTCAACAAAGAACAAACATGTCTCTGTCTATTCATGGCATCAAACTGCGAGCGAGAAGACTTCTTTTTGTGTTAATCAAAAAGACAGAACTGATGATGATGATGATGATCAAAAGCAAAAGGGAAAAGAAAAAAAAAACTCTCGGTTGACTGGAAGATAGCGATAACGGAGGATAGAAATTAGACTAATCAGCGTCTATCGATCGATAATCAATTGAGCTAGCAAATGATAAAAAAACCAAATAAATGATGTTAGCAGATGCTTTCATAAAAATGAACATATTTAATTATATGACATTTTGTTTTCTTTATTCTTAGCTATCTTATCGTCTTCTAACTTTGTTATTCAGTAAAGAAAGACGAAGAAATGACATTGGAAAAACTGTTAATGATCATGATTACATACTCATTTACTTTTCCTATGGTTTAGCTTATTTAGCTATAGATTAACTAAATGTATTAGTTTTCATCATTAATGCATGTTTTCTTTTTCTCCATGATTCGATACGCTTGACATAGAGAATACGTGTATAGTATAGAGGGAACTATCTACTTATTGGCATAACGCAATAGATAAACAAATTCTGTGTCTTTAGGGCAATAATAACAATATTTTAAAGAGATTTATTTTTGTTCTCGTACTTCTTCACCGATGGAAACATCATCATCAACAACAAAAATAACAATGTTTTTCTTGATCCTGAAGAATCATTTAAGAAAATGATTAAAAATAAATCAAGAGAACGAGTACTTCTGTTGTAATTCTAAAAGAAAAATTTGTATGTGGATCATTTCTAATAATAAGAAAGCGATTTTCTTAAATTGAAAGACAAAATCTTTATTTATTCGTTGATAATAATAAATAGTAGTATGCAGAAGAATAATAAGATGACATGTAAATTAATTTAGACATTCAGTAATATTTGTTTTCTGACGCATCAAATTTCTTTTTCTTTGTTCTGTATGATAATCGAAATTAAAATATGCATCCTCTTAAGTTTCACATAAATTAATTATTGACATTTACATTTCGATCTATTTCTAGAAACGTTCAAATATTTGCAAGAACTATTGACTGCAATTATTGATCGTCTAGTTATTTATGTATCTATAGAAAAAAATAAAGTGACAAATTGTATATGAAAATGGCAGTTGTATTAATTAATTAAATATTTTGATTTTGATTATTTGAATATATTCGATAATCTATTTAAGTACATGAATAGACATACAATTATAAATTATTATTTTATAAAACAAAATATTGTTTTTTCATTAGATATAAGTATTGAGTCAAAAGAAAAATGTATATTAAGAGTTCGAAGTATCGATTCAATATTTGTCAATAATATAGAATGATGCATAGTGTCTGCGTTTTATCTCCTTTGTATTCAATTGATAATAATGTCATTAGTACATGAAATGTTGAGCTTTGCTACGATTTGATTGTTTCTCATAAAGTGTTTAGAACTTTTAAAAATATGTAACTAAATGCTCGTTTACTAATCACGTTGTCTGTATTATATTTAGTATAGCTTGAATCACTATTAGAAAGATGATCTTCTAGCAAAAAGTATAATAAGCATGAAAGAAAGATTAGACTAATGATTTCATGTAAGTAAAAAGAATTTTATGATTATTATTTTTATACTGATTGACTCGTACATTTTCTTTTTTTATCTAGATTTCCAAAAGACGGTATTGTTCATTTGAAATACATTTTAACTGTAGAATAATTTTTTAATAATTAAAATAAGAGGTGTTTTTTTATTACGTGTTCTCAACAAAATCTAATTATCATTTGAAGTTTCATATTCAAATTAATCTGTTCGAGTTTCGAGTATTTAAGATGATGTTTTATATGACATTTTCTCCAATATCAATATAACATATATAATAATTACAATCTTAAAATAGTTTATTCGGTATACATAGATAATAAAACCGATAGCAGAAATAATAATTCCTGACATTAAATCAAAAAGCAATCTATATCAGTTCTTCACTTGATAAAGTTTGTCTAGTCACACTAATTAGATCAAATTTGAATTATTTGTCATTGTTTTTTGGTGCGAAAAAGATCGATTCAATCTTGTCATTTATTATTCTAATGATATAACAATGTTTTTTATCTCTTTCTTCTTTATTAACTTTCCATATTTAGTTAAAGTATTAATCAGATATATATATACGACATAAAATCATTATAGATCCAATCTGTTTGTCATATTATCTCTAAAAAGTAGATTAAATATAATAAACTATAATCAATGGTACTAATAACAGTATGATACATCTTCTCTTATGGAAATAGTCTTTGAGATTAGTAAAAATTCGATATTTCGTCGAAAATTGAAATCTAAAAATACAACTACAATTCAAAAGAGGCAAAGTAAATAAACAAATAATACAAAATTTTTCTTTTTTTCTTGCATACAGCTTCAATAATATAACAATCTTCTCGTGTCTACCAATCCTCGAATTGTTTGACTATTACGTGAAACCTTTTTTTTACTCACATAGCAAGATGATTCATTGTATATATTAATTCAGAGAAAAAGAAAACGAGTATACTATTCGTAGACTTTACTTTCAATGGTAAAAGAAAATATAGCAAATAAACACATAAGTCTTTACTTACAACCATTTTCTTATTTTTTAAGTTACCTAGGTAACTGTTATTTTTTTACTCTCCTTTTTATCGACAGACTTGATAAAGAGTGTCATTTGAAAAAAAAACCTTACCCAAGTTCTATAGTATTTGCATGGCAAAACATTCACGTTTTACAGATGATATTTGGTTTACACCAGCTCCAAGTGCAGCTCAAATTCCTGTTCGAACTATAGATGATTTACGTAATGAAATCTTTGTTTCCAATAAATATGAATCACTCAAACAAGGTTTATATACAGCTGAGGAAATGAAATCAAAAGATTTATATGAAAATTATGCACCAAATTTTAAAGATAAAAATAAACAATTTATTTATAAATATATTAATGAAATACGACATTATTCACCATCACCAGATAGATATTTATTAATAACAAGATGGAGACCATTTATGCCTGATGTATTACCTGATAGTTTAACACGACCATCAACTAGAATTCGATTTCAATCTGATGTTTTTAATTATCAATCATGTGGTGATAATCAAACAGTAGAATGGTATTTAAATTTTGCAAATCATGATCTATTTGCTTACTATGGTGGACCATTATTAGCACAAGATGAATTACAAGTATTAGAATGTATTGAATTAGCAGCATTAAGAGAATATTTTGTTCAAACAATAAATACAGTCGGATCATCTACAGTTAGTTCTAATCGAAATAAAACTTTACCAACACCTAGTAAATTATTATTTGTTAATTTAATTCTCTTATTATTTTATTCTTTCAGTTTTAATAAGTAATACTGAACGAGTAATTCAAATGGATACTAGTAAAGTTTATGGAAATGCTTTTGCTAAAGCAAGTGAAAGACAACTTATTCAAGCATGTAAATACCTTGACAGTTCTCAAAAAGTTAATTTAATAGCTATTGAAGCACCAAGTCATGGTCGTGGTAGTTATACTCGTGATCAAATTGATTATATTCTTCTTACTTGTTATGTTGGATTTAAAGCAGCACAAATACTTGCTAATAAAACTCATGCATTAAATACATCAAATCAACGATCGTCTAGTCGAAGTGAAAATAAACATTTTCGTACAATAATTCATACGGGATGGTGGGGTTGTGGTGCATATGGAAACAATCGACGAATGATGATTTTAACACAGATTCTTGCAGCATATTGGGCTGAAATTGATGAACTTGTTTTTCATACACAATCAAATGACTATCAAGGAGATATAGATGCGGCTCAAGAAATTGCTCATCAATTATTGAAAGAAAAACGTGTTGATGATGTTATTAATCAAATTGTCAAATTAAATTTACAATGGGAAAAATCAAATGATACATAAATGATTGAAAACATGTCCTTCTCTTTTTTTTACTCTAATCATGAGAAATTTTTCAATTTAGAAATTGTGATTTAATGATAAAATAAATTTTCTATTACTATTACCTCAACTTTAAATTGATTCCGAAACATTTAAAATTATTTTATAAATGTTTAGTTTTTTTTATTTGGTGAAAAATTTTTCTACTGTAATAGTTATAGATAAGATATGAAAAAAAACAATCTCAAACTTTGTTTTTATAATAATCTAGCCACGACGCACAAAAAGTGAATAGTATAGCAGATACTGAAATCGTTATCATTCCTTATAATCTTATTTACTAGATAAGAATATAATAAAAATTAGTTTTTAAATACATTGTAAAATAATTGTTTTATAAAAATATTAATGAGTTATATAGTTTCAAGTATGAATTTAATCTTATTCGAAGATAATTATTTTTTCTTCTAATTCATTTAAAAGAAGGTGTTATATATGAATACGATTAACAAATCATGACTGATGTATGAGTATAATTTTAATAGTTCTTCGGTTCTATAGTGAAGCAATACTTTTGTACGTTTTTTTCGATAAAAATTAATTCCCTGTAGCTATGAATGCATTAGAATATCCAATGCTCCATTATAAATAGATAAAGAGATGGTCAAATGCATAAATATGCTTCATCATTACTTTCAAAATTATATGTCGACATATAAAGTTAATTTATGAAAATAACAGGAACCTTGTTTTCTATGGTATGCATTTCATATGAAAGTCGCAATTGTGACGTATTAGATAAGCTTCACCCAAAGCTTTTTTCACCTCCACGCCATAGTTTTTAATTTAATTTTCTAATGACGTATTATAAGGTGGATTTTGTGCTTTTTCCGCTTAGACTATGTTCTTTTACCATTAAAGAATTTAATATTTTACCTAATAGACTAAAGGCTGCTTTTTTAAAATCATTTATTATATGAAAAAAAGAGATATTATCGTCAGTACATTTTCTATTATCAGTTAAAATATCATGTCATCATCTTCTATTTCATATTTTATAAATCTTTCCCATGTAGTTACGATTTATTTCGGCTTGACTATTCTAGTAGCTGGCGTTGTTGGTGGACTTTTAAATCTTACTGTATTTTTAAGTCTTCGAACATTTCGACAAAATTCATGTGCATTTTATTTAACAATTATGTCATTTGCTAATATAATTCATTTAATGACTGGTTTAACTAGTCATATTGTAATTAATGGTTATGGAATTGATTGGGGAGGTTATTCAATAGTTTATTGTAAAGCTCGATTATATCTTATTCAGTTGTCGATATTGATGTCATTTACAAGTTTATGCTTGGCAATCATTGATCAATTTCTAGCAACTTGTCATAATCCATTTTATCATCGATGGAGTAATATTAAACTAGCTCGTTATATTATAATAGGTTTTCTTTTATTTTGGTTACTTCATGGAATACCATTTGCACTTTATTTCAATGTAGTTATGTCACTAATTAATATAAATCAATTGACATGTGCTATCACAAATGTAACCTTTCAAAAATATTTTAATTTTGGTTTTGTACTTGTCTTAATCGGTATATTACCATTGACCATAATGACTCTATTTGCTTTATTAGCTTATACCAATGTTCAAACTTTAGGTTACCGAACAATTCCGTTAGTTCGTCGTGAATTAGATAAACAATTAACAAATATGGTACTTGTTCAAACCATTTATAGTTTCTGTATTTTATTACAATATGTAATTACTACTGTAGTATTATATTACATATCTCCTACGGATCGAACAAATTTTATATCAGTTTTATCTGTTACTATACACAATTGTTATTTTGCGGTAAGTAATGAAATATTCTCCATGACATATCATTTAAAAATTTTTATTTTTGTTTTGAAGGGCTCGTTTTATATTTATATGTGTGTATCAAAACGATTTCGTCAACAATTCAAACATGTACTGTATCATAATCATTTTTGTAAACAAATACGAAGAAAAATAATTAATAATCAAACATTACCACAAATATCAGACACATGAACTTTTTATCCTTTTCGTTGTATATTATTTTCTTTTTCTTTTACTTTTGAAATATGAGATGAAAGTTCATGAAGAATGTCTATATCTAGAAGTAAAGAATATTATCTTTTTCAATTAACTCTTTGAGTCTCATAGTAGCATTTTTGCTGCACATGTTTTATAACTGATTTTCATCGTATACGTAATGAAAATTTGCACGCCATTTTTTTGGATGAAGCCACAAAGAATGCTCTAGAATTTTCTCGAAGGGCGTGGATGTTAGTTCAAGGTGGTCATATTATTATCACTCACGCCCCTATTCATATCATACACTTTATGTCTAGAAGAAGCTAGTTTTACGATCTACTGAAATTTATTTCAGCAAAAAATAACTTGGGACACAAAGGGTTAAAGTAGCGAATGAATTTAATTCTCGATATATTAGTGAATCGTATGGTTATGTAAAATATTAAAATAAAAGAAATAATGTAACAAATGAAAAGAATTGAAAAATCAAAACATTATGGATTGATTTAACAGTTAATGAACAAGTTGATGTTGTTGTCGAAATTGAAGTCACCGTTGAACTCGCCAAATTTGTTGCATTTGTTGTAGAAACCGATGTAGTTGTTGTTGTTGTTGAAATTGTCGTAGAAATCGATGTAGTTGCTGTTGTTGTTGAAATTGAAGTCACCGTTGAACTCACCAAATTTGTTGCATTTGTCGTAGAAATCGATGTAGTTGTTGTTGTTGTTGAAATTGTCGTGGATATCGTTGTTGTTGTGTCAATTAGAGTATTAATAAAAATATTTGCGTCTGTCACAAAGTTATCAACTATATCAATGCTGGTGATGGTATATGACTGAAACTCGAAATCGTTGAGTAACTTCTTCAAAATTCCATCCTTGACAATCATATTCACCATGCTTGCACCGAACTATTATAAATTATGAGTATACCAGAAAAAAAAACGTTTTCCTGTATTTTGCTTACATTTTTATTGTTTGTTGTATCATAATCATGAATACATGCAAGTAAAGCCTTATTATTTATTTCTAAATCTTCCGAGAGATTTAGTTTCATTCTTGCTAGCTCACTTGCTTGTAAGTATACTTCACATATTATTCGAGATAATGAATTAATACTATTGTCTTGTGCAATACTATTTTCAATTTCACAACTATCAGTCGGTGCAGTTACACAAAGACCATTGGATTGTTTGATTAGCTCGTATGGCATACGAATACTTATATCAAACCAGTTATACTGCAAAGTATAAAGTCATATGAAGAAAAAATTTCTTATGAAAAACTTTATATACTTGATATTGATATGGCACAATGGAAATATATATTCCAGCAGTAGCATAAGAAATTTCAATTTGTGTCAGACTTGGACGAGTTATTCTGATTTCTATTCTTAATATATTAATCAATATTTTTATACATTAGTTTTAATCCTTACCTGGACTACTGCAATACTGTTCTTTATCAGAAATTGTACAAAGTATTTGATTATCTTTGATAAATGTCACATTAAACTACGTATAATACTTAAATATAGAATATTTTCGTAATATTCAAAACTTACTTGATCAATTAACCAGGTTTTATCTTTTATGATAGCTACAATTTCAACATAATTATTTTGAAGAATTTTATGTTCACCAGACATTTTACACCAGTATTGATTTTGAAACTTTTCAGATTGTTCTGAAAAGGGTATAATATGTGGATCTCCATAGACATGACATATACCGTTTCCGCTGTTATTTTCTAAAATAGTATTAGAGTATTGTTTTCGTTTTTACCGAAGTAGTAATTAAAACTATGATATCCATGCATAATTATATTGAAATAATAATGGTTACATAGGTGAATGAATCTGATTAGATCTTATAGAGAACTGGTCAAATCGAAACAATTTAAGTAATGAAATCAATCATGAATCTTCTTATCTCGAGTCTCTTATAGTTTCTAACGTCAAATAACTGTAAAAGATCTCTGTCAGATCTTTTCATGACATCTTATTGACGAAACTATAAATTAGTATATAAAAAGTAAATTTTATGCCGAACTTCTATCTTCATATGTTTGACTAGTCTTCTGTTAAATCATTACTATGTTTGTTGATAATAAAACTTTCTAGCGATCTATAGATTTCTTTCTAATCATTATTATGCATCTATAATATTTGAAATTAATCTAAGCAAATTACCTTGATGAGTGACATGACACAAAAGTAATATCAGACCAAAAGTTTTAATGATTTGTTTCATTGCAATCATCAGTCAAATTTTGTCAAAATAAAAGTACGATGTAAAATATAGCTTTAACTCGAAATTTGACTATATGTATGCACAGGCGCATTTATAAATCTGTACAATTGATAAGAAATAAGTACTTAATCATCATATCAGCAATCTTTTACGGAAAAAAATAAATAAATTGCTATCGGTCATATTACATCAAAGTTCGATTAAAATCAATCCTATAGAAAAACATAAAGACTTGTTTTTTATTTTCTATGGACAACTATTTATCTAATGAATTAATGCAACAGATCTTATCTTGAGTAAATAATGTATTTATACCTATTTAAACGAAAATATAAGCAATTGTAGAGAAATAGATTAGTAGATATAGCTAATCTTTACACAAAATAATGAAAAATATGATTCCTCGATAAACATATTATTCATTACATTTAATCGGTTCTAAAACAAAGTCAATATGAATTATTTTATTTGATGAATAACACGTTAAACTCTACGACATGAATTTGTGCTGTTTAATATTAATTTAAAGTAACATGATATATGAGCTTAGTCTTATTGTTTGTTATTGAAAACATGTGACAATTACAATATGATTGATCTAACGATATGTACTACTTAGTTGATATTTCATCCCTCTAGACTGATAAATCGATTAATAGTATGCATTATATCTAGGACATAATACTAATTTTATCTGAAAGTGTTCAATGACAATGATTTTTAACATAATACTGTGTCTAAAACAATTTTTTTTCAATTAATCGGTATACATCATTAATTTTAATATTCAATTAAAGGCTTTTTAATGTATTGTGTATTCATTTCCACAAAAACAAAAACGAAATGATTTTCATACATATAAATATTTAAAGATTATATAACATGCGAAATATTTATAACGAACAACAAATGAATACAGCAGAGAAAAAAAAATAAAAGATTATAAAGAGATTAGATATTATAATAAGATCAATCAACTTGTTATACTGACTAGAAGAAAAAGAAAAGAGAGAAAATATTTAAATCTTATGTTTCTTGTTTAAATTCATTTAAAATTGGCATTGATGTTGTTGGTAAAAATGAATCAAAATATGGATAATGATGAGATGATTGAAAAAAAGGTACTTGTAATGATGATTCTTTTCCGATTATCTTTCCTTCGGATCGATTATTTTCATTGGATGTTTGTTGATATTTTAATAAACGTAATGTATTTTCTTCATCAGAATCCATTGATATACCTGTATGTATTGACATATTATTTTGTTCAATCATTGGAATAACATCACAATCATCAGAATCATCATTATTGTCCGTATCATCTTCATCACTCCATGAAGTAACACCAACTGATGATGTTGTTTCATTTTCTGTATAACGTAAACATTTTTTCTTTCGTTTACAATGTTTACACCAATTTGCTTGCTGATCAAGACCAAATCGTGCTCGACATTTTTTTTGATTAAGACATTCTTTTCAAAATTAAATATTAAACAAATAAAAATTAAACTATATTTAATACAAATTACCTGCATTTTCACCTGAATTTTTCTCTCGTTTTTTACCACTATTTCCTCGTTTTTTTCGTGCACCATAATTATCTCGAGCTGACCAACCAGGATATAATTGCATATGTTTCATACGTTCATCACGTGCCATATCATAATATTTTTGTTGAACATTACGATCAAGTTCATGCCACTATAAATAAAATAGGAAATATAAAAAAAAAGAAATTACATTTTATTTTCGATTACTTTTCGACCAAGTATTTGATTAATGGCAGCACTTTCACGTAATGTACATTCTTGTACAACTTGTGCTCGTTGTTCTTTCATAAATAACATAAAAGCATTTAAAGGCTTTTTTATATGAGATTTTTTTGATTTTTGTTCATCATGGGATATTGATTGTTTATGATGATTTTGTTGAGAATTATTATTATCAATAAAACGTCGATTATTTGGTGATCGTTTTTGTGCTGATGATATCGAAGGAGATGAAGAATTTGACGAAAATGAATAACCAGATGGAAATACAAATGGAAACATAGGTGAACGCCTAATATACAAAAAAAAGTAAAGTTTTATTTTAAAATAAACATAAAGAAGTATAAAGAATTACCAATGTTGAGAATATGGTGATTGAAATGAAGTTGGTGATGGTAATGCATATATTGGATTCGGAATGCCTAAATAGAGGAGACAACTCAGCATTTTATGTTGAATCTTAATCACTTTCTCAAAATCCCGTATGCTGTTTATTCAGAGATCATGATAGTAGTTCTATGATCCAGTTATAACTGCTTCCGCAGGGGCGCGTGGGGTGTAACGTTCCCCTACTTTGGGAAATTTTTATTTTTTTGCTCGCAAAAATTATAAAAATCGAAAAAAACAATTTTTCCGTGCTAAATTTAAACAAAAAATCGTGTGGCGCCCCTTGTTCTCGGTACGCCTCTGCTGACTCTTATTTATGAGTAGAATATATCGAATAAACTGTATAGTGAACATAGATTATGAATTAGATGAAAAATAAAGTATTTCTTCCAATCTACTAACACTCTTATCGATATTCCTATTTTCTAAGTTTCAATATTTCCCGTCAATCCTCATTCACTCAATACAATTGACCAAGACAGAATGAATTCTGGTTTAAACTCTAATAATATTTCTTACTGCCACTCGAGTATGACATGCCTTTATTAAGATTTTAAAAATAATCAATATACCAATCAAATCACAAGCCCTTTCGTATGAATTTAAACGATATATTTTAAAATTTGATTATAACTATTAGTATTCATATTGATATGAAAGATATTCGAAAAAAAATTATCTTTCATGACTAAAAATTATTATATAACAATTCTATTTCGCATGAAACAAAAAAAAGTAATAGATATGTTTAAATCAGGAAAAAAACTGAGTGCCTATTTATAGACTATTAAAATAGGAATATATAAATAATTAAAATATGAATATGTCTCAATTAAGATCAAAGAGAAAAAGGGAAAAGTCTTCTTCTTCTTTTTCTTTTTTTTGTTTGAAAGTGCAATATGCATGAATTATCATTAAGCAAAAAAACAAATTTTGTTTATTAAACTATCTTGATTATCGGACATTTTTTTCTCTTCCTTTCTCTCTCATATCACATTGAACATTCTCTTTTATTCTTTCATTGTCTTGTATCTCGTTAACAAGATCATTTTCCACTTTGTTAAACGTCAACTAACGACATGTATGTCGATTAGTATTGCATGAATAATCTTGCTTGTCTGCATCTATGAGTTCACCTTTTTTTGCTTTGTTCTTAAAATCGATTGATTTCTTCTTCTTCTTTTTTTTTTGGAGTAGATATCGAAAGAAAGAAAGATTTATTTAATGAAGTACTAAATGTATTTCCTATTTCCTTCTTTTATTACTTCGTCCTCTCAACTGACGAACGATAGTTGACTAATAATTGATTTTCATCTATTCATCGAGTATATATAAAGGCGAGTCGTTTGTTTTAAAGCATAACGTCATAAAGAATTCATAATAAATGATTAACCTCTTCGTTTTCTTTTTCTCTCTTTTCTTTGTAACTGAAGAGCTTGAATGCGAGCAATTTCACCTCATCATTTAACAATTAGAGAATAAATATATATATATATATAGAAGAAGAAATAGAAGTAGTATTCTCTAAATAATAGACTGATTTACTTTACCTGTAGTTTGATCAGTACATATATTGGAATTAGTTATGTGAGCTGGTGGTGGTGACATAAATTTTGATAATGATTCTAATGAAGCCATTTTGTCCTAGAAAACATCAATGATTATTTTCAATAATACAATCGAAAATTTTGTTAGTTTGGATAAAACATATACATATCTATTCATTCGTGCATAAGGAACTCTTATCCCTCACTTAATATATCTAAAGCGGATATATTAAAAACATTCACTTGATTAAGTTTTTTTTTAATTCTTAACATTCTTTCTATTTTCAATAAATAACCTTTGATAACAGAAAAATGTTATCAGATTATCTAAATTACAATAACAAATTAGTTTGTAACGGTTTTTCTTATCTTATTTCTGTGAACTATGTAAATGTTAATTAGAAACAGTCAAACAGATAAATTCAATACAATCAAAAAATTAAAACTTACAAATGATGGAATTGTATTATTAGCATGATAATATGGCGATATAAAATATGGAAAGAAACTATGAGTTTGTTGTTCACTGTTTAAACGATCTTTAATAGAAGATAAAAATAACTATAGATATATATTTTTTGAATAATAGAATTTTACCGGAAAGATTTATCGCTGCTGCTGCTGATATTTGCTGGGGTGATGACTAAAAAATCAAGATTTTTCAAATTGAAAGATCAATACAAAAGAAACTTACTTCTATTTCGTCTTTAATAACAGGTGAAAGTCGATCACTATTGTCATCGCCATCAATATCCATATCTTCTTCATGTTTTTCACATTCAAATACTTTTATTTCATCAATATCTGTTGTTGAATTACCACCTCCACCACCACCAGGATCAGAAGTTGTTAATGATGCTGAAGTATTTTCCACGGTTGACATTGCTCGTTTCGATGATGACGATAATGATTTTATCGAAAGATCAAGTGTCAAATCAATTGCACTTGACTAAAATAAAATTTTGTTTTGTTTCGAAAAACTCGACTTACGGTTAACTTTTGTTAAATAAAAGAAACTAGTCTAATAACAGCATTGCTTTCTCTCGCTCACTCTCTCTCTCTCACACTCAATCTTTTTTTCTTCTTTTCTATTGGTAAAAATAGAGGGAAAAAGAAAAAAAAACTTACTACGAAGATATTTGTCGGCATTGTTAATTATATTCTTCAACTCTAATTATATAATTATTAGATATTAAAATACTAAAAAAAAGAAAGAAATGAATAAGTATTAGTTAATATAAATTATATCAAAATGAATCTTATAATTAAATACTTTATTTTATCTAATAAAATTACAAAGGATGTGCTGGAACTACTGCCTACTCATCTTCTTTTTTTTATAATAATGATGATCATTGTAGAACGGTTAGTCATCGTAGAAAATAGAACAACTATAGGATTTATTGGCCTTCGTATCAAAGAGAAATAACGAGCATCTATGAAAATTGACCAACATACATTCTTCCTCTTTCACTCTTATGTGTGTATGTGTACGTGCGCGTTGACCTTCACTGTCTAATAGAGTATGTTTTTGTATTGATCTAAAGAACACAGGACACAATAGCGCCGTCCATCGGCCAGCACACGAATAAGAAAAGAAAAAGAGAAAATTTGTTCATTCATCTCCATTCTTTCAATGTATATTTATATATAAACAACATCATGAAAGAAGTGTACATGTCAAACACAACATATGAATCTAAATAACGATAAAAAATGAACATTTCTCTCTTTTATTTTCATCATTAATCATATACTGAAATAAAATCTCCTTAATAGCATCAGCCAATGTTATAAATGACTAAATATGCTTTGTGATTATCTCTGTCCAGTAAGAAAATACTTTAAATATCTAGAAGAATCGAATAGTAGGAAGTACATGATACGAAACTACTACTAGTCTTCAGTCTATGGGCTATTTAACATTGTAGGGGAGGGAAGATACTTAAATACATAGAAATCAGATCATTGTAATCAATAGGAAGTATAATATTGATTTTCTTAGTTGTAAATACTATAAAATTTGATTTGAATAATAATATTACAAGTAAAATATCGATTATTTTGATAGAATAAATGCTTTTATTGTAACCATTATTTATTATGATAGACTAAAGTGAATATTTTCATGCTGAACTCTTAGATCTTCTGTATTTGTAGGAACTGAAATTTAGAGTCTGAATATTTATGTTGTTATCACTTATAATTTGTTTAATAGATAATTCAGCTGTAGTTTGAAATCATAGGTTGAATAAAATCTAAATTTCGCTCAGTCTCATTTAATTCTTATATGAAAGTAAAAGAAAAATTTCATCAACTAGTTTTCGTGACTAGCTATATCATATCATCATATTTTAAAAATCGTTAGAAAGGCACGGGAAGCGGATACAATATTTACGAATCCTAAAGATCAGATATTATAATTATATCAGATGGCTGTTTGATTATATAATGTATGAGAAAATCATTGAAGTAAAGTATTGCATAAGTTCTATCAACTTTATTCTAAAAAATTTTTATCCTGAAGTTATGTACTTTCATACTAACCTATTTACTCATTCATTCAAACTCATTTTAAAGAATAAAATTGTTAGTATTTTTAAATGTAACTTTCGTTTTTTTCTCTCTCAATCATGTATTGATATAAATAAAAAAACAGTATCACCTCGTATACACAACAAATATATACTTGAAGGTTTGTAATAAGTTTATTTTAAAGGACATGTTTTATTATTTGAGAGAAATATTTCGATAATTGCGTAGTTTTAATAATTTATACACAGAAAAAAATAACAATGAAAGAAAACTGAATACATATATATGAGATTGTTTTCAAATCAAACATCGATAAAGATACTTTTTATTATGAACCTAGATCTTATATATATTTAATTAGTAATAACAGACTTTTTTTTTACAAAATATGATTGACTGATAGATATCCTTCATAAGAAGTCAACTGTTTATTATCATTCTAGTATTTGTAATATTGTACAATATTAGAAGGATACATCAACAAGTGCTAGAATCTTTTATTCTATGACATAATCGGTGCTAATCAAATATGTAACATTAAGTTTTGTTCATACGAACATGTAAGTATTCTTTATTATTGTTGTTATTATTAACAAAAATACTTCGATATAATATGAAAAGAAAAAGAATTCTCAAGAAAAAAAAAGGCAATTTTGTTTTTCTTTCAATAGTTAAAAGTAAGTATATATATATTTATTCGACATGAGAAGCTGTTTTTTTAGTTGTCAGTATTCTTCTTTCATTTATTTCATATCAGATTCAAAACGAATGTATATTGACAATATAGACAAAAAAGAGATGTAAGATAGGGGAGGTACAGAATATAAAAGAAAAAGTAAAGGTATCTCCTCTCTCTCTCTTTCGGTCTTACAGTCAACAGTAGTTTCATTACAATTGATTATTTTATTATAGAGTCGCTATATATATAAATATCAAGATTCTCTTTCATTATCTGTTACTGCTCGAAAGTAAGACGATAAAAAAAACTAACAACATTCATTGTCCTTCTTTCTCGGCTTTGAATAACATGAGCAAGACAAAATGATGATGATGAGGATATATATATTCGCTGTTAAGTAATATGAGCATAGTTTGTACGTACGATATATGATTGTAGAAAATCGAGTCATTTCTTTTTTCTCTTTTTTTTGCTTAGCAATTGATGTTATGACGAATAGATAAGTAAGTAAATATATGCGTAAAATTTTTTTCTTTTTTTTTCGAAATTTTGAACAATTGCTTCTTATCATTATTATTAGTCAAAGATTGTAAAAATTCGTTAAGATAAAACATCATAAAAAGAAAAAAAGAAAAGACACAAAATCCATACTCATAAACAGACGAGAAAAAAGAAATGTTTTGTTCTATTCGATAAATAAAATTTCTTCTATTTTGTAACAATGTTTGACTTAGATCTTTGCTTTTTATTTAGTCACTATCAATAGTTCAATCAATTAAATCATATCTATACAAGTGTCTGTCTCGTGTAGTGACATACAATCGATTGTATTTTTATCGTTCGGACCGAACAATTGACCAGACAAACTTATATATTGATGCTCTTTTGTGTAAAATAAGCATAATAGAACGAGAAATTCTTTCTTACATATACACGCACACACAAGTAACGATCAATGATTAAAAATATTGTCTTGATGATTTTTATTTAATTTCTTTGTACGATTTATATAATGAACTCTTTATTATATGATACAATAGAAGACTCATTAAGTAATCTTCTTCAAAATCATTCACTTACTCATTTACTTCAACAAGATCGCGAACAATTAATAACTCAATCATATTTTATTTCTTATTATCATCCAAATATTGATCGAGATCAAGCCGAACAATTATTAAAAACAAACTATATAAATTCAAAAATTGATGGATTATTTTTAATACGTAATTGCACAACATCATCGCATGATTATAGCTTATCACTGATTTATAACGATAGATGTTATCATTACAAAATACAACTTTTATATGACATTCATTTTTCTATTGGTAGAATAACATAATTTCATTTGATTTCTTTTAGTTTCGCTTTTTTTTCTTGTTCTTATAGATTCCGGTCCACAAATAGCTGGTATAGATAATTTAATACGTTATTATCAAGAACGTGCAGATGGTCTTATTTGTATACTTTCAACTGAATTCATTCAAGGTCAACCACTTCCAATTACCATTCGATGTATTGGTACAACTAATATTCTACATCAAGCATGTAAACAAGGTAAAGTTGATATTGTTCAAAGAATTCTCTCATCTCAATACGCAACATATCGACCTGATATTAGTGGAAAAGATTCCTATGGTTCGACAGCACTTCATGAAGCAAGTTATTATGGTCATGATAATATTGTTCGATTATTAATCAAAGCAGGTGGTAATATTCGTATTCGAGATGCTAATGGTTCAACAGCTTTACATAGAGTAAATCAATATGAAATATAGAAATAAGATAGATTTTCTCTTTCTGTTTTTTCTTTTAGGCAGCAGCAGGTAATCGTCCATCGACATTACTTATTTTGATCAATGAAGGTTTACTAGATTATGAAGAACGTAATTATAAAAATTATTGGGTACCATTACATGAAGCTGCTTTTCATAATTCAACAGCTTGTGTTCAAGTTTTACTTGATTGTGGTGCTCCACTTCGACCACGTACTAATGAAGGAAAAACTCCTCTTCAATTAGCTGAAGAAAATCAATGTATTGAATCAATTCTTATTTTAAGACAATATAAAACATCATTAGCTAAATCATCTCGTAATGATTGGTTACATGATAAATCAAATTTTGATCGTTTTGCTGCTAAACAATTAATTGAATCGGTTAAAAATGAATCTTCTAATGGAATGTTTATTGTTCGTCATAGTTCGAAAAATTTAAAAAATTATGCTTTAACACTTTATAATAAAAATGAATTTTTTAATTTTGAAATTATATGTCTTAATGAAACAACATTTTATATTGATGATGGACCTTATTTTGATTCATTAGAACATTTAATTGATCATTATTGTCGTATACCGGATGGATTACCAATAACATTAACATGTTCAGTGAATCAATCAGGACAACTTGTTTCAAATCCTCTTCAGCCATTGATAAATTCTTCTACAAATAATAAGCCGAAAGGTATATTAAACATTTTTTTAATCAAGCTTACTAGTAATCTCATAGTGCCAAGAGTAAATGAGATTTCTATGAATCTAATCGAAAGTAGTCGATGCTATATTCAATTTTTACAATATAAATCAAGCAATACATGTAGTAGACTTCGATTCCTATTTGTACGAGATCTATCAAAAGTAATTGGTCTATAACAGTGTTTTATCCGAGTTTCTTTTTTCGGGTGTGCGCCGCCTCTATCCGCTCGATAAAACACTGGCCTATTAATCCTATTTGTAGAAGATATATGAGATTAAGTATAATCTCATGATTTCTAGAAAACTGTAATTATGATTTTTTTTTATTGATTTCTTATCAAAAATTAAAAGAGGTATATTTTTATTCTTAGAAACGTCGTTGCCTGTAAAACATAATATCAGTCGTCAAACAAGTATTGATACAGTTAAAACTATCAATAGAACTGCTCAATCCTTACCATTAAATCCTCGTACAAAATTTCCGTCGTCTTTAAGTAGTTCAATAACTTCTCTTAATTCATCATCATCTCGTTCTCGTGCTTCATCAGCACAAGAAAGTCCATTATCAACTTCATCATCGAATGCATCGTTATCAAGTACGAGTCCATCAAAACCAACTATATTACCAGTTAGTAATGATACTGAACTGAAAAATCGAAAATTATTTTTTGATCGACGTAAAACAATTGATGGTAAAATTATTTCATATTTACCTGATCTACCAAAAGAAGCAAAAATAAAACGATTAACAATGCCAATTGTAACATTAGAAAAACAAAAACCAGTTAAATTGAATTTTATTTCACCCGATCAAATTCAACAAATAGCAAAATTAGGTGAAGGTGAATTTGGTGAAGTTTATGAAGGTTTTTATCAAGAAAATTCAGTAGCTATACCTGTAGCAATGAAAGTTCTAAAAGATTATTCATATTCAGCTAAACAAGATTTTCTTCGTGAAGCTAAACATATGTCACAATTAAATCATCCTTGTATATGTAAATTATATGGTATTGTTGATTCATATAATACCGATATGATGATGGTTATTGAATTACTTTTACTTGGATCAATGGTTGATTATTTATGGAAACATAAACTTACAATAAGTGAATATCGTTTAAAATTATGGGCATCACAAATAGCTGATGGAATGGAATATATGGAATATAAAGGAATTGTTCATAGAGATTTAGCAGCAAGAAATATACTTTTACAATCGATAGATCAAGTGAAAATTAGGTAAAATAAATGTTGCGAAAAGAATTTTTAAACTAAATATTTATTTTATAATTTCTAGTGATTTTGGTTTATCAAGATGTATTGATACAGATATTTATATACAAAGATCGGATAGTAAAATTCCTGTTAAATGGTATGAGATAAATTTATTGATATTATATAACGAAATATTTGTATTATAGGTATGCACCAGAAGCGATTAGTATTGGAAGATTTACTTCAAAATCTGATGTTTGGTCATTTGGTGTAACTTTATGGGAAATGTTTTCGTATTCAGCAGCACCTTATGGTTAGTTTAACATTTTCTTGCTTACTTTTGTAATGTAAATGAAATTCTATAATTTTATTATAGGTGATAGAAGTGGTAATGAAGTATATTATTCTTTAAAACAAGGTAATCGTTTGGAACGACCATTGCGTTGTCCATTATCTATGTATCATATAATGCTTCAATGTTGGGAATGGGATGAGCAAAAACGGCCAACATTCTATCAACTTGTTCGATTAATAAAAAATGAATTTATAACTGGTCAATCGAACAAAACAGTACGAAGATCACTTTCAGTCTTTGATGAAATTAATAATGAACGAAAGAGTACACAATATCGAATGAATGGTGATGAACAAGAATCAAAGAAATTTGCACAACTTTGATCATATATCAAATTCTATTAATTTATATATATTTATCAAACCGGTCGTTTTCCACCTGTGAACATTTTTGTATATATTTATAGATTAACACACACAAGAGAGAGATTTTGTTTTATTAAATGAGTGTTTTGTTCATATGTAATAGAAATATAAATATTTTATTAAATATTTACATTAATAAAGTAAAGCGGAATGAGAATATTACTAAATTCATCTATTCATTAAAACGCTAGGAAACTTATTTTAATTACTTTTGATGTTTAACTAATATTTATATATTTGAAAACTCACATCCGACATGCGGCTTTTTTTTTTGTTGTGTTCTGTCGGATGTTAAAATTTGCATCATGGCACTGTAGATCATGCAAGCATACATCGAACAACTAATTTCATTTGCACCATATAAGTAAATGCCATGTTGGTAATAAGGAGAAAAACGAGAGAAGTCGACAGAAAAAAGTAATCGTCAGCCATTCCAAAAATGTTCTTTTCTAAATGCATAGTAAAAGCTATGTTCAATAATAATAATAAAAAAAAAAAGAATAACATATATTGAGGCATTTGTTTAGAGTGCTCGTACACAATCGTTAATCAGTAATGCACGAGATTGATAAGTATCGCCAATTATAAACGTTATTCTTCTTTCGTTTGCCTTTTTTTCCGTTGCATTTATTCATAAATCTCACAACAATTCTCTTATCGTTATTTTATCAAGTATTTTTTGTTTCGAAATAGACCTTCAAATATTATTCTTTTTCTTCTATTCTAAATGAATGGTATATAGTCAATTATGTTGTTTTACTATATATAACATGTAATAGAAAAAAATGATTTTCTTCCATTCATCTTGATGATGATGGCTTATCTTAATCATGTCAACATTATTGTATAACGATGTAATACTTCGTTTTTTTTAGATGTGATGATTTGAATAGTGTTTGATACCGATGATATATATATACATCGTTGTAGGTATAATGAACAGTACTATCTTATTCATTGAGGGTAAGTAATTTAGTATGAAGAAAGCAGAATGTTTTCACATTGGATAATTAGATGTGTTATCTTCATAGATTAAAATTGTAATGTATAATCAACAACGATCACATATATCTGATATACTTTTTGAAGATCAAGTTTTATTAAGTGATGGTCGGTCAAAACCTTACCTAGTTCTACTTCGATTAACATCGGAATCACTTATTATTCGACCTTTAAATACAAGTCAAAATTTATCATCAAATAATAAAGATATTCAAGCAATAGTACCACGAAATGTTACAATTGTACGACATGCAATCACACGTTCATTTGGTTTTTGGATTAAAGGTGGTAGTGATACAGGTAAATAAAATTAAAAAAATTTAATTTAATTTAATTTTTTCTTAATAGGTTTTCCAATTCTTATTTCGCGTGTTCTGCATAATAATACTCATCTATTAAATATTGGTGATGCAATTTTAAATATAAATAATGAAGACATATCTAATTTAACACATGATCAAGTTATTAATAGATTACATGATGCATCTGGTGATCAAGTTCATTTAACTGTTAAATATATGAATGATATGGCAACATATTTACATTTAACAGCAGAAAAACATCGATCATCATCCGTACAAGCAACATCGAATGATTTGACATTACCAAGACGATATTTAACTAATGAGATACATGATCAAAAACGTATGTCAGCAGAATATTCATCTGAAAATACAAAAGATAAACGTTGGTCACTATTAGCATCCGATCAACAAAAAGTAAGAAAATTAAACGTAAATATTCGTAAAAGAAAAGTTTTGAAAACTGAGTAATTGATTTCATATCGTAATTGAATCAAGTTGAGATAATACTTGAAAATACATCAAATTAACCTTCAGATAATTCTCAGAAAGAATCAATAGATAAATTTCTACATATGGCTTCTAATATTCTCTATTTTCGTAAATCAATCAATTGATTTGTATATATCTACATTTAATTCAACATAGAATATTAATCATTCATTCTACTATGTAAAGTTAATAAAATCACTTGTCAATAAATATTTGTGAACCAATACACACTATCAACTCAGATTTTTCTTTCTCTAGTAACTAATAATATGGAAATATATTCTGTATACATAGTATAAATAAATATTACGTTTTTGCTTGTAAAAAACTAAATTAATAAAATTATTTATTATTTTACAGAATAATGATAATTCTAATATTAACATGCAAGAATATTCACTTCTTTATGCATATGTTAGTCAATATCTAAATGGTACAGATAAATTACGAGTTAATTCATTTCAATTATATACTCTCAATGGTTCTCAAACAGGTATTATTATAACAAATACATGTCTTCAACAGAATATGTGGATATCACGTATAAATATGGTTATACGTAATTTAACAACACGTATATTAGCTGAACTTAATCAAACATTATTATCAAGTGAACAAATATTTTATACAACTTGGCTTAATGAACGAATTATTAATCTTAATGATAATCTTTTACCACAATGGAAATCAATCTTTATTGTTTTTAAAGGTAATGATCTTTATATATTTGATGATAATAAATCACCACCATTATGTACATATGATTTTATTTGTTGTACACGTGTATATCCTATTACTGAAATATTTCTTGAAATTGTATCATCAAAAGATCATATTGATAATCGTCGATATTGTTTTACATTAACATTACCAAATGATATACAAATTGATTGTCGATATTTAAATTTTGAAAGAAAAACTGAATATGATGATTTTATATTAAATTATCAACGATCACTCTATATATCTGTTTATTCACTTCAAAATCGTACGTTTGGTTGTACATTTAACGGACAAATATGTCGATTAATAATTGATATAAATAAAGGTTTTGAAATGTATAATAATGAAACAAATATTATGTTATGGACATTTACATTTGAACAACTTCAATCAAGTTCAGATAATGGAAGAGATCAAATATATTTTCAATTTAAACGTTATTTATCTTCAAATGAAACAAATACAATTATTCATATTGATGTACAATGTCAACATTTAAAAATATTAATTCATGTTATTAATGCATTTTTAACTGTGAAATATATTGGCCAAAAAGATGATAATAATATAACTGATTAAATAATATTCGAAATTTTTTCATTATTATAGACATACATATGATATGAAATCAACAAATTTATTATTTTTAAATTTTATTTGTACAACTTAGAGTTATAATATATATATATATATTAAATTAGAAAGTTTCTTGGAATTAATGTTTTTCGAGATAAATTTCTTCGACCAAATGATTTACGTATACCAGTAAAAATCTATATATGAATTATAAATAAATTTTTCTTGATTATTTTTCAAAAAATTAAAGTCTTACTGAATTGAGTATATAAGTAATGACAGTTGCTAATATATAATTACTAGCAAGAGCATCAATAAAGAGAAATGTAACTATATTCCATATAAATAAAGAACTTTCTTCACCATAGAATAATGTTTTTGTAAAAGTTTTTTCGTTATCTAGAAGAAAAATAAAACAATAATGAGTTTATTTTTGTTTTTGGAAAAAGATTTTCTTACCAGGATATAAAATATTATCAGTAATACCATCTAACTCTGTGCTTGCTCGAGCTTGAAATTCATAATTAAAAATTTTTTCAAGAAAATATCGATTACGAATAAAATATTTGTATGAAGCCAATGAATGATCAATGAATGCACATAAAAACCCATTTAAATTTTGATAAGACTGAAGTAACATATCTGTATAACGTTCAGTATCTTCACGTGTTTTTCGTGGACCAATATAACTCTACATAAATCGCATAGAAAATCAAGGATTATTTTTTATATGAAATTCATTGAGAAAAAAAAATCTAAATCTAATTCGATTTATTACATAAGAATTAACTAATCAATCAAATTTGTTTAGTTATAGCTAAAAGTAAAGAATTGTTGAGTATCTTATTATTGATGACTAAAAGAAAGTAAACATGTTAATAATTCGTGCTTTTAGCACTAATCAGTTTCTATTAAGCATAAACATTCACTTCATATAGATGAGATTGTTTTTATCAGTAGTGATAATTTAATAATGACAAACTAGATTATGTAGTTTTATGATCAAGAAGAAAAACATTTAAAATAAATGCCGAAAAATGACTACGTTAGTCGTATGAATGCTGCATATGTAAATTATCATATTTCGTTCATTTTCGATAAAATATATATCTCATCTATCGAAATCGTTTTGTCTACTAATGGCAAAAAACTATCATAGGAAGTCTGGAGATGATTCAGTCCTTTCCAGAAGTTATTTATACTCTCTGATAAATATAAAAGTTTTTCTTACATAATAATTTCGAAATAATAATTCATATTGTTTTCTAAAATTTCTATTAATCTTCATAATAAATATTTGTTCGTCGGAATTATCTTGTAAACCTCTTGTACCAATTGTTTGATTTTCTTCACGATGTAAATTCATAATTATTTCTTTTATATTTACATCAGTTTTACCATGTGGTGAACGACCATGAATATAATATCCGTGATAATATTGATCAAGAATAAATACACTTATATTTGATACCGAACATAAATCAATAAAATTAATTATTTTATCTGCAATTATACGTTGATAAAATAATGTAAAAGCAAGATATTGAATAATCGCTAAAATATAATTCATAATAAATATTATTAAAAACAATGAAATCAATACATACAAGTGCCTGATAATGTAATAAATCCTATTCCAGTACGAAAAATTGGATTGTATTCTGTGCAATTTGTTGGAGATGTAGATAGAGTAAATTCATTATTAACACAGGAGAGACTTTCAAGATTGACTACCTACATGAGAGATACTTGTATAGAAAATTAAGAAAAGAAAAATGAAAAGTTTACTTTAAGAAAAAATAAAACAAAAAATAATTTTAATGTTACATTAATACGACGATAAGTTTGAATTTCATTAAATTCATTGGCTACAAAATTTGTTCGCCAAACTGAAATCTTATGATAATCTATTTTAAAACAAAATGACTATATATTATTTTAAATTTCATCTATTTCTTAACCTATTTTTGTTCGTTCCCAATCCATAAAAAATATTTCTATTCGTGTTTGTCGTACAATTAAATGAATAATATCAATTGTTTTTAATACAAATGAAATAATAAGAAAAAATTTTATTAAATTTTCAAATGAACTAATATCTCCATAAGAAATATTTTCATATTGTTTCTATAAAAAAATAAATATATTAGTTATTTCTGGATAAATAAATTCAATTTTCTACTTTAATAATCAATAACCACCAAACTGAAGCACCAGCTGTAACAAGTAAAATAACTGTACCAATAATACCAATTAAATGAAAGGTAAATATTGCAATTGTCTATTAAAATCGATAAAAAATTAATTAAATAAAATAATTTATTAATTTCTTACTCCTAAATCGACTATTTCTTTACCAGATCTTAAAAACCATTTCCATGTTCTAATCAAAGCAATAATAAAACCTAAACCTGATAAAACTCCCACAGCAATATAAACATTAAGAGTTTGACTAGCAATATCCATAAGGATTATGTTTAAATATATATATCTGCAAATCTAATTAAAAAGAAAAGAAAAATACACGTGCACTGAAAAATTTATATGCATAGTTGACGAGGGAAATACTAAATACACATAATCGATAAGAACTGTTACTAACTAACATTCTGTTCACTCTTTCTCTCTCTCTTCAATCAACTTTATGATAGTAGTGATAGCAACTACAATGTCTAATATCGTTTTTTTATAGAGTAATAAACATTTCAGGTTGTTAAAATCTTTTTTTTGTTGAGTGTGTATGTATACATGAGCGAATAGAAAGGAGGGAATGTATGCAACGGCGCTATGAAGAAGTGGTAAATATTTTATCATTACATTTAACAATTAAGTATGCACGTGAATGATATTGAAAGAGAATGAGAAAAAAAGTTGAACAAAAGAAAAAGGAAAAAATGTCGAAGAATTTTGTAGGATATTTTATAATTGACTTTGATAATTGACAAAATTTGTATGTATATGTAAAATAGTTTGAGGAGAAAAAAAAAGTCGTCTTTCTGACATATGAAATATGAATGATTAATCGGAAATGGATAGAGAAAAAAATAATATTTACTTGACTACAACACAATGCGCATATAAGGTCAAAGAGTATAAGAATTGCATAATTTGTTGATAAAAAAATCAATTTTTAAATAATCAGAAAACCATTATTTTATATAAAGATTAGGAAATCAGAAAAAAGGCTTGCAATGTAGCTGTTTTGGTAGTAATTTAGAATAAAAGGTCTTGTTGTTTAATTTCAGTTGAACTATTTTAATTAAAAGATTGCTCAATTGTCACACGAAGTTATCATGCATAACAAATGCATTCACTCAGAATGCATTTAATACAAATACAATTGAGTAGAAAGAAGAATATTGTACATATATTTAGATTAGAAAAAGATCGATATATCGAATAATTACTGATGAACGTTTTATCATACTACAATCGATAGTTGAATTAGGATAGAACAGAAACAAATAAAATGCTTTAATAACAATCCTATGCCAACAAAAACAGTTTATTCTAAAAATTTAGAATGAGTCATATGTCGAACACTATAATTAAATTGTTCATATCTTCGAAAATCAGCTGTTTACATAAATTATATTATAGTGATGAAAATCTATTTTGATATTCTTTCTTGTTCAATTCAATGAAATGAAGAAGAACAGGATATCTGCATGATCTCATACACCTTCCTGTTTGTAGTCTTCAATGAAATTCAAAAGCAACAATAGTCGTACCGATTATATCATAAAATCCGTCCATTCCCTAAATAATATATCTCTGACTCAGATCTACTACTAAGGACATATATTAAATAGATTTATTTCTACATAAATTCTACAACAAACAAGATTATTTTATTTTAAAATTATGACTATAAACATAAAAAAAACTGTTAGGAAATAAAAACAAATAGTTCGTATATTCTTGTTTAATTATTTAAACAAGAAAATTTTTTGGAATTAATGTTTTCTTTGATAAATTTCGTTGTCCTAGTGATACACGTAATTTGCCAGCAATCTATACAAATAAAGGTATATTTTCGTTCTTTTTTATATATTAAAATAATTCTTACTAAATTAAGAAAATAAGTAATAATTGCTGCTAAAACGTAATTCATTGCAAAATAATCAATAAAGAGAAATGTTGCTGTATTCCAAATAAATAATGAATTTTCATAACCAGCAAATAATGTTTTAGTAAAATTTCTATCTAAATCTATAAAATAGAAATTAAACAATGATTATTTTCTTCATGTTTTGTTTTTATACATACCAATATAGAATATACTCTCTGTTTGTTCTTGTGATATTGGTGTATTTCGAAAACGTAATTCACAATTGAGAATTTTTTCTAAGAAAACACGTGGACGTACACTATAACTATATGTTGGTAATGATTGATTAATAAAAGCACATAAAAATTCATTTAAATTTCGATATGATGCTAATAAAATTTCGCATTCATGTTCATCACCTTTTTTTGTTAAACGTGTAAGAATTCGATTCTAAAAAAAACAAATTAAACTCATATTTATTTAACCTATATATTTTTACTTGATAATTTTTAAGTAATAATTCATATTGTGATCGAAATGCTTTATCAACTCGAATAATAAATGTTTGATCATCTGAATTTGGTTGTAAACCTCGCGTACCAATCTTTTGATTTGATTCACGTTCTAAATTAGTCATCATTTCTTTCATATTAACATCGGCTGTTCCATGTGGCGATCGACCATGCATATAATATCCATAGAGATTATCCATAAGAATAAATACACTTATATTTGATACTGAACATAAATCAAGAAAATTAATTATTTTATCTTGAACAAAACGTTGGTAGAAGAAAATATAAATTAAATATTGAATAAGAGCTAGAAAGAAGGAGTTTTTTTTTGAATTAATATAAATATTCAAGATTGTATTTACCAACACCAAGCCACATAGAAAAAGCAATACCGACACGTAGAATACCATTATAAGCTGGTACATAATCCGTTGAAGATGGAAAAAGATTTACTCCTGGTTGAATTGTAGCAACATTCTCTAAGTTAATTACCTATAGAAAATCATTTTTATTAATGAAATAAATAAAATATTTTGATTTACTTTTAATAAAAGTAAGACAAAGATAATTTGAAATGTAACATTAATACGACGAAATGTTTGAATTTCACTATATTCATTTGCTACAAAATATGATCGCCAAACTGAAATTGTATTTGGATTTCCTAGAAAAAAGAAATATTTTAGATTTATGAGAAATTTGTTTAATCTAACCTGATTTTGATTTTTCCCAATCAATAAAGAAAATATCAATATTTGATTGACGAATAATTAAATGAAGAATATCTAATGTTTTAAGAACAAATGCGACAACAACAAGTACAGTAAATGAAGTTTGTTGAATAGTTGTTGGTATAACTAAATAGATTGCATCTTGTCTCTAGAAGAGATTATAAAATTTTTCTTATAGGTAAAAATGAACAGTTTTTTTATTTTACTTTAAAAAATATTAACCACCAAAGTGATACACCCGCCATAACAATAAAAAAAATTGTACCAATTGAATTAATTAAATATAGGAAAAATTTACCAATTGTCTTTAAAAATTTTAATAAATATGTAAAATATTAATTTGAGAAAAATTAGAATTATCTTACTCCTAAATCAATCATTATCTTTCCAGCTCTTGAATACCAAACTCTTGTTTCTATCAACGACAATATGAAACCCAAACCACATAAAACACCAATTGCTATCCATATACTACTGATATGTGTATCAAGATTCATACGATATTGAGTTTCGAATGTAATCTATTCGAATAAAACATATATATATAGGAAGTATTATGGGACCCGCATATATTTTTCAAAAGAAAAGAGTGAGTGTAAGTTATAAGTCGAGTTTTTACGACACTCCTCTCTTATGGCAGACCTTAGCGATTAGCGCCAAAAATTACTGGATATAAAACAAGGCAGCCACTTATTCCAATGGCTGGAAATAGCTAAGTATGATCAAGAATAACCTGAAATGAGGATGTGGGTGGTAGGTTAATATATCATCCTTCTTTCAGAAAAAATCGTGACCATAAATTTTGAATTCAAGTTTGCTAGCTAGTACATCATTCAAAGGCTCTTATATATTATTGCAGAATAAATTCTCTATAGCACCAATGAAGGCGTTTTAATCTTACCTCTACAAGACTTCCTTTTCCTGTATCGGATATAGCTAATTCACCGTATTCAATAATAATTAATGGTGGTTGAATGTTAGCAGCACTATTTGTTAATGTATTCACGATTTTAATTGATTTAGCATAATGAATATTATTTAATTCTAGAAATAATAATAATGAAATTGAAAGAAAAAGTGAGAAATATTTTAAGGATAATATACCACCAGTACTATCTAGAACGCCAGAGATACGATCAATTAGAAAAAAACGTCGATGATAAACCCATTGTGATTCATCATCTAAATAATTTATATAATAAAAATAAAATATATATATATAAATGTGAATAAATACCATTTTGATTAGGACTTGAACTATCATTTGCTTTATAATTTTTGATAACAACTGGTGTTGGTAACATATAATCAGTACCAGATTGAGTAAATAAAATATCTAAGATTAAATATTAATAAATTTGTAGATACACATTATGTGAAAGGAAAACTTACATGGATCATAAAAAGCAGTATCATATAATGTTGAAGACCATAATGCATCAACACGAATATTACACTAAAAAAGTTACTTGCAGTTTTAATTCAAATCTTTTTATTAAATTAAGAAACATTATTCTAACAAAGATTCCTATAGCAGCATTCATAATCAAGCACAATCACCAATTGATATGATCAAAATTAGAGATATATCAGCTAAAAATCATTGTTTAGCAATTTAAAACAAAAAATGCGGACTTTCTGTAATACGTGATCATCGTAACAAGATCTAAAGCTAAGACTTAACCCATGCGAAATAAGCAAAAAGCAGCTGAACTCTAAACACAAACCTTCCTTTCATAATTTCTTATCTATCATATTTTCATCTATTCGCCAAATAAAGGACAAAAACGATTCTAAATATTAATCTTTCATTACTTACTGCTTTTTTATATTGCGTTCCAAATGTAAACGCTGGTCTACCATCGGTATAACTACTACCACATAATTGTAGATATGCATCAAATGCATCAAAAAGTCCAATATATTTTCCTGTTGGAGAATATTTTGCTAATTTATATCTTATTAAATTATTTTGAGTAGATGATGCTACTGGTATCCAGTTATATGATGCACTATTTATTTCTTGATAATATGTTGATGGATAAGCAAGAAATGGTATTGATGTTCTATATGAAATCAAATCTTTAATTTTAGTTTAATTTAATTTTTTTGAATTATTAACCTTATCTCTGAAGCTGACCATACCGATGAAGATGTTGGCGTCCATATATAATTCTGATATAGATTATAAGCATAATTATTTACTGGATAATAAAATTGCATAGCAACGATATTAGCTAAAACTTGACAAGCTGTTGCATTCGATAAAAGAGTTCGATTTGTTGTTTGAGCTGCCGTGTTATTATTTAAATTCATCTTTAAATAATAAACAAGAATTTTAAAAGCAAAGAAAATATTTTAATTTACTAGACAAAGATATAAAGATGCATCAAGATGTTGTTTAAAAAATGATGAAACTGTTGGACTCTAGATTATTTATAAAGAAGATTTATATATGAGAAAAACATGTCCAAAACTCACGTTAAATCGGTTATTATAAATAGGTGATATAGCAATATTCAATGTATTGATTATATAAGTTAAGCACATACCATCCTTAATGAAAAACAAAATGATGTATACTATATATATTTGTCAGAAGAATAGTTTACTTTAACATCACTAAGAGCACAACAACTGATGCTTGTCGGTGCTGATCCAATATGAGGAGTAACTGTAGCACATGGAGTACATCTAAAAAACTCAAGATAAAAGAATTTTATAAAAAAAAAAGATTATCTTCAACCGTTGATTATCTGGATCAGACCAAGCACCAGCTACACAAGTTTGACATGTCTCACCAGTATAGCGTGGACTAGTTGATGTGGAATTAGATGAATATACACTACCATCGAGATTTGATTCCGCTAAAAGATAACATACTAATTATTTTACTTGAGGAAAAAACTATTAATTACAAGGAACTACGGTCGAACTTGAGGTAGCACAACTACTACTATAAAGAGTACATCCAAATCCATCAGTTGATCGTCGCTAAAAATCAATATATATTTATATATGATGAGAAAATAAAATTTCTGTATGCATACAAATCCAGAAGCACATTTTGAACAAAGTAATGAACCACCACCTTGATTTACAGCATAATAATATGAAGTATCGATACATTCACATTGTGTGTTGTCTAAATAAAAACGAAATAATTGAAGATTTTCTTTTCTTTATTGTTCATATATCAATAAACAAAATTCTCGCGATACCCTTTCTAAATGTACAACTCAATATTTCATATTTTTTGTAAAGCATTTCAAAAAAGTACGATTACTTAATTAGTAACTACTAACGAATGTAAAACAAAACAGAAATTTCAATCGAATTTTTGTTACCAGTCGATTTTTGTACTGCATTATCTGGACAATTTGAGCATTGTAATAACGCAATATCATAATATTGACTTGATGAACATGTTGTAACGTATGGAACACTTATTTGATAAGCATTATAAGTATTAGAAGTACTTTGTGTAAAAACAATATTCGATGGAAGAATTAGTAGAAATAGAAATAGAATAGATTTAACTATAATCATCTTTCTAGTTTCGAAAAGAAAAATTGGATTAATAATTGATCATGAAGAGTTTATCATTCTTAATCGTTGCTTAGAAATAACCATTATAAATATTTTTAAATAAATCTGATTGGTTAAAAAATATCTCTAATCACGAAAGAAAGAAAGAACAACGTTACGTTTGTCGTTCATTTATTATTTAATCTGATCATTTATATCAAATAAATGGACGCTCTTATTCCTATACTTAATAAACTTCAAGATGTATTTAATACTGTCGGTTCAGAAAATATTCAATTACCACAAATTGTTGTTGTTGGTTCACAAGTTTGTTTCTTACATATTGTTTTTTAACATTTCATCATACATTTTAATTTTTACAGAGTGCTGGTAAAAGTTCTGTTATAGAAAATATTGTTGGACGAGATTTTCTTCCACGTGGTACGGGAATTGTTACACGACGTCCATTAACTCTTCAACTGATTTATACACCTGTCGAAGATAAAGAAATTCAATGTCAAAATTTAGGATGTAATTTATAATTTAAATAAAAACAAAAAAGTTTTCATTCGTTTTCAAAATAGGTCCGGTACCGAATGAAGATGAATTTGCTGTATTTACACATATTAAAGATAAAGTTTATACAAATTTTAATGAAATTCGATGTGAAATTGAAGCTGAAACTGATCGACTTGGTGGAAAAAAGGTCTTTATTTTCTTTTTAAATTCTCCTATAAAATATTTGTTATTCATTTTAGAATATTTCAAAAGAACCAATAACATTGAAAATTTATTCACCAAATGTTGTTACATTAACATTAATTGATTTACCCGGTCTAACTAAAGTATAAATAAAATTAAACTAATTTTAATTTTTTAAATTAATTACAGGTACCTGTTGAAGATCAACCAGTTGATATTGAACAACAAGTACGAAATCTTTATTTGTATTATATTTCGAATCCAAACGCAATCATTCTCGCTATTACACCAGCGAATATCGATTTTTCAACATCAGAAGCAGTTAAATTTGCAAAAGAAGTCGATCCAGAAGGTTTGTTATATGCATATATATTTATCGTATAACTTCAGTTTTCATCAAATCGATATTCTTTGGCTTAAAATGAATTCCTTAGCATAATTCTTTTTAATTCCGATCGAAAGTCTAGTTCTGTTTGAAAAGAATAAATTTGATTTTTAGGAAGAAGAACATTAGCTGTTTTAACAAAACTCGATTTAATGGATCGTGGAACTGATGCATATGATGTTTTATGTGGACGAGTTATTCCAGTTAAATTAGGCATTATTGGTGTTGTTAATCGAAGCCAAGAAGATATACATAAGAAAAAAGTTTGTTATTCTTATTAATCTCAAAATATAAGAAAATTATTGTTTTAGCCAATTGAGGAAGCACTTCGATATGAATCTGCTTTTCTTCAAAAAACTTATCCATCAATTGCTAATCGTAATGGAACACCATTTCTTGCTAAAACATTGAACAGAGTATGTATATAGACTTCTTATAAAGTCTAAGAAACGAATTTTCTTATTTAATAGTTACTTATGTATCATATTCGTGATTGTTTACCGTCATTAAAAACTCGTATTAATCAAATGGTATCGCATTTTCAAACACTTGTTAATTCATTCGGTGAACCAATTGAAGATAAAGTATATATATAATTTTTTACGAATGAAATTTTAACAAGAAATATTTATTATTAGGGTCGACTTCTTCTTCAAATTATAACAAAATTTGCTTCAAATTATTGTGCAACTATTGAAGGCACAGCAAAAAATATTGAAGTTTCAGAATTGTTTGTATTCATATATATATTCATATAATGTATTTGTATTGAACTCTTTTATAGATGTGGTGGCGCTAGAATTTGTTACATATTTCATGAAACATTTGCACGTGCACTTGAATCAATTCATCCACTAGATAATTTAACTACATTTGATATTCTTACAGCAATACGAAATGCTAATGTATTATTTTACGGAATTCTTATTTTATTAATATTAATGTTATTTTTTTTGTTATTTAGGGTTCACGACCTGCTTTATTTGTTCCAGAAATATCATTTGAATTACTTGTTAAACGTCAAATAAAACGCTTAGAAGATCCAAGTTTACGTTGTGTAGAATTAGTACATGAAGAATTACAAAGAATTATTCAACATTGCGGCGCTCAAGTAAAGATTATTTTATCTTTAATAAATATCTATAGACTTTGTCGTTCTTCTTTTTTTTGTAGCAAGAATTTATACGTTTTCCACGTTTACATGAAAAAATTGTTGATGTTGTAACACAATTATTACGTCGGCGATTACCGGAAACAAATCGTATGGTAGAAAATCTCGTTGGAATTGAATTAGCATATATTAATACAAAACATCCAGATTTTCATGAAGCTGGACTTATTCATAAAGCTTTGACCAGTGGAGATTATTTAATGAATACACCAAAACACGATAATCGAGTTAGTTTCATAAAATCTTAAATCAGAAAAGTTTGATTAGAATATTTTTTGCTAGATGAATGATGAATCGACATTAGGACGATCAAGTTCCATGAATCAAGTATTAACTCAACATAATGGACTGTTAGTTAATGGTATACAATCCTCAATACATACATCGAATAGTACTGTTACTTCTCCAATCATGGCACCACTTGGTGACGGAGTGAGTATTATTGAAGGTGGGTGTAGGTGTGGCTGTTTTGTCGTTATCTACACCCACACCCTCAAGATAATAATGACATTTTATTTTTCATTTAGACAACTATCAATACTCGAAAACTTTCACAACGTGAACAACGTGATTGTGAAGTGATTGGTAATTAATTAATCTTTATAATCCTATTAGTCAAATTGTATTTTTTTCTTCAGAAAGATTAATTCGTTCGTATTTTTTAATTGTACGAAAAAATATTCAAGATAGTGTACCAAAAGCTGTTATGCATTTTCTGGTTAATTTTATTAAAGATCAACTTCAAAGTGAACTTGTTGCATTATTATATAAGGGAACTGTTAATCAAGATGATGATTTATTAAATGAATCAAGTCATATTGCACAGCGACGTAAAGATGCACAAGAAATGCTTGAAGTAAGTTTTCTTAATACTAGTTGTTCACAAAAAATTTACTTCAAATTTGTTTTAGGCATTACATAAAGCAAATCAAATTATTTCTGAAGTTCGAGAAACTCATCTTTGGTGAAGTTTTAATCATATTTTTGATATTTAACAGTCGTCTATTAGATATTTATTGTACGTGTGTATTAGTGCTTTTTTATATTTAAACCAAATCTGTATTTTTTTATATTACAAACAGACTAATAAACCAGTAAAAAAGCAATGGTTATATGTAATTATCTTAAAATTTGAATATACGTTTAGAAAACTCAATTAGATATTTTTATCATAATAAGTAGAACAGAAATAATGTACGCTTACAGCTTCAATAGTTTTCAATAAAAATTTCAATATTGAATGTTACTACAGTATATATTGTGAAGAGATGTATGAATGAAAAGATTCCTTATGTGATATATTAAATTGAACTGTGAAACCAGTTGAATTCTATACATTAATGTTGGAATCGTCGGGACTAAAAAAGCGTAACAGTGCTATCAGCGAGAAGTTTTGAAATAAGTTATTACTACTTCAGATTTTTGAAGAGCAACTTGCTCGCACAAAACTCGCCTATTAAGCGATTAATACTACTTGATCACGTAATCTACTTAAAAATCGATTCTTGAAAACAAAAGATCTAACATGCCCTGGAAGATTCGTTATAATAATTGACAAGAAGATACTCATTCACGATATCTTCTGATGATGAATGAGTAAATTCATAGACAGGTAAAGAACATTTACAAAAAAAGACATGTTTTATATCATTTATATTTACTAAACAATTCCCTTTATTTCATTTGACTTTTAAATTAAATAGAAAGCATGTCTGTTTTCTAAAAAAAACTATACTGCGTATCAGTCAGACAATTACTTTTTTTTTATGTTAAATAATATATTTCAAATAAAGATATAAATATAGTTTATTGAAATAAAATGATGTTCAATATTAATACTTTAATTTACGTTTAGTATATAAGAAAATATTATTAACGCTAGAACACGTCTTGGTCTGAAGCAATTTTTTATTCTGGTCGTTTTGCAAATGAATCTAGGCTATTCATAATAAGATAAAAATTTACTTCAAATTCTGAACAAATTGACATGATTCAATGGATTGTATGAAGATCAATTTAATTTATGAGTCAGTAATGCCATAGATTTTCCTATCCTTTTGAAGAGCAAAAAAAAAAGTATACAATGTTTATATTTCTTGTAATAACAACAGTATTATAAAATAAAGCAAACATCCGTGTACAAGTAAAACAAACATCACGAAATATTCAGTTCAATGAATATTTTTAATTTAATCAAATTAGTATTAATAAACCTTGAATAAAACTCGAAAAGTTATTTTTCTGTCTACATATTTGCCTTACGTTCATTGCTAATTATAGAATCACCTTTTTGTCTTTCTTTTTAAAACAAACGACAAAAAAATGTTATTTTTTTCCCTCGGTTTCTCTCTTAATTTTCTTCTAGTAGTACTAAACTAATAAATATAAAATTACATTATTACCTTCAAGTCTTATTTCCAAGTTCCATGAAAAGTATATCAAACGATGATTTATTCTTATCCAGATATATCAGTATATGACCAATTGCAACAATTACAAGCTGAATTTAATGAAGTGAAAAATGAAAACAAAATTTTGAAAATATCTGGACGACGTAAATAAGTCAAATAATTTTCTTTGATTTTATTATTTTAATTGTGTTTTATTTTTTATAAAGTTTTACTCGAACGTGCACCACAATTGATTACTATGCGTCCGTATGCAAATACACTACAAGAAACTCTTGATTATATAATTCAAAAACAAGAAAATGAAATTCATCGTTTACATGATGAACTTCAACGTGAAATCTATCGATGTTTTGAACGAATTAATGATTTAGAATTATTATGGAAAGGACAAGTACAACAGTTTTTGAAAAGTTCAGATAAATTATAAATAAAGATGTGAGACTAATATCATAGGTAAATAATTGTATATTCTTTTTTACAATAACAATGATATCGTTCTACTAGAAAATATCTTACAACATAGATAATAGGATTTAGTCATTAGTTATTTAACTCAGATTCTAGCGACGTCTTGTTAAGGTAAATATGAATACTGTTTTCGTATTTCTCACTACGATTTAGTCAGGTAAATCAAAATAGGAAAATAATGAATCACATAAAAATAAATCGTCATATAATCTTCGATTTATACTCGATGATTACGTATCCAAAAAAACACGACTATTACGTTTTGAATATATAAATTTAGCTTGTAATTATTTGATAAAAATGGTAGATTGTAAAAATTGTGGGTACAAATATTTTTTCTCAATCATGATTCATCTCTAGAAGAAAAAAATATGTTATTTCATCATCACATTTTGTTTTTAGTATATATGAGAGTAAAGTAGTAAAAAGTTTAGGCAGGGGAGAGTACTGCCACATTTACAACGCTTTCAAGCAAGAATTCAACTAAATAATAAGGATATGCTGAAAGGCCATATCCACCAAAAAAGACGTAATACTAATGTATTACAGCTTTTTATACATAACTAAAAAAAATATCTTATTTCACTTACAATATTTATGTGTGTCTCGAAAAAATTTTCATAAAAGAACAGACAAATTATTGCGATATGTTCTGTTGCTCGTTGCTCATAATGAAAAAAATATTGCACAACACCTTTTGTTTCAACATAAATAGCCGTTTCCTGCATTGCTATCGGCAGTGGTCCGAAGGCAAGATTCGTACATAATGTTTGTTGAAGATCGAGAGGATCTTTTATGCTGAAACGCCATATCTTCATCCGCCTTTGAGAGAAATACTACACTATCTTGCCGAAATATGACCACTATTTTTTTATAACATATAACAATTTTACAATTAATGATCAAATCTCTAATCGTGATGTATAACACTGATCTTTTTTTTAGAAAATAAATTGTTTATTATTAAATTTAGTGAAGTTGTCTCATATAATGATTAGATGTTCATATATATCATCAGTACAAATTCAAATAAAATATATATTTACAAGCTAATATCAAATGAATATGAATAAAAAAAATATAAAACTATAAGTAAAGTAGTTTGTAATATTTTATATATGATTGCTTTCTAAATACCTCTCGCATTTTTTTTAAAAAAAATCATGTACATTTATCGTTTTTTAACAACGTAGAAAAACAAATTTTTTCATTAAATAGCTTTCTACCTTTATCTCACGTGTCGTACCTTTTTATATTGTTTTCAAATAAAGTAAATTATCTTTTACTATTGTATTATAAAATCAAAATTATGATTACTCTATAATACGAAAATATAAATTCAGTTATGGATAAAATCTGTTTTATATTAAACGTTACAATCAATTCATGATGCTTAATCATAACAATATAATGAACTTTGGTCGTATTTGTCCCTTTAATCTACTCAACAAACCTTGACGCATTTATCATTAAGCATCGATTAATACGATTAAGCTAGAGAGGTGATCAATGATGCATATCAAATGAATACGCACGATGTTTTAGTGTTATTACATACTATAAAAAGACACCCATATTATTTCGTATGCATACATATTTGGATTTTATACTTAACAATAACGACGATTTTTCTCTTCGATACAAATATTCATTCTTGACGTCATATAATAGTTACAAATTATAATGGATAAAAAGAAAGATAGTTCAGCAGATAAAAAGAAGACAACAACAACTACAAAGACTGAAGAAAAAAAAGACGAAAATGTTCTTGCAAAAGCTGCTCATTCAATTCGTGATAAAGTTCATGAAGTAAAAGAAAAAGCTCATAATATGACTCATGGTGGTGACGATGATAAAAAAGACAAAGACAAAAAAGATAAAGATGGTAAGAAACCAGATCCAAAATTAAAAGCATCATCAAAACCACCAAAAACGGGTGGAAAAGATTCCGATGATGATAAAGATGATGATAAATCAAAACCATCTGATGATGAGAAAATAGATGGTAGTGGTGCTGCTCCTCCCGCTGCAAGTAAGTTATTAAGATAAATAATATTTGTTGATAGAGATCTTGTCTGTTAGAACCACCACCTAACGGCGGTAAACCTGCTGGTCTACCAGCAGGTGTTGATTCTACACCAACAGGTGATCCTCTTAAAAAAAAAGATGATGATTCTAAATCATCTGATGATGATGAAAAAAAGGATGGTGATGAAAAAAAAGATGGCGATAAAAAAAAGGATGGTGATGCTGCTTCTTCCGAAAAAAGCAAGATATTATGATAAATAATATTTGTTAAATAAATATTGTCTTTTAGAACCACCTGCCGGCGGTCCATCTGGTAAAGCTGGTGCTCCACCATCAGGCGGTAAACCAGCTGGTGATGATAAAGAAGGTGGTGGTGGTGCTGCTGCTCCTTCTTCTGGATCAAGTAAGACATTTTTTTTTCGTTAATCTCTATCAATATATCTCTGTTATAGAACCACCTGGCTCTGATCCAGCTGATAAAAAAAATGAACCACCGTCAGGTGGTGATTCGAAACCCCCCGGTGATAAAAAACCAGCTGCTGGTGATGCAGCTCCTCCTGCTGCTCAAAAGCCAGCTGCTGGTGGTGCAGCTCCTCCTGCCGATCAAAAACCAGCTGCTGGTGGTGCAGCTCCTCCTGCTGATCAAAAACCAGCTGCTGGTGGTGCAGCTCCTCCTCCATCTAGTATGATATTTGTATAATTCATTCATTTCAAACAATATCTCATTTAGAACCAGCTGCTGGTGCCGACGATAGTGAAAAACCTGCAGCACCACCATCAAATAATGCTCCAGCCGGTGCAGATACGACCAATAAACCAGCAACTGAAGAAAATCCCAATGACCAAGTTCATGTTTCGTTTGATGGTTCGATAAATTTATAATTTATATTAATATCATTAGTTTTTGTCATTTTATCATATTTTAGGTGTAGAAACTGTTGATGATCTACTCGAACGAATAGATGATGCTGTTGAAAGGGCGAAAATTGTTGTAAATAATGGCAAAGATCAAAATGCTGCTGATAAAACTGAAGGACAAAATCCTTCATCGCCTGATGCTGAAAAAAAACCTGATGGAGATGAACCAATTCGTATTGTCTATGGAGATGTTCATAGAATAGAAGATCTTCTTGAAGCAATCAATAATCAACCAGGTACTCGAAAGATCATCTTGGAAGGTGCACCTGACCAATCAAATAATGTTAGTGTGAAAAAAAACAGTAATGCATCACCACCTGCCGCAGCTTCTCCGCCAGCTAATAATGCAGACAAAGATGCATCAACTACAGTCAAAAAAACTGAAACACCAGATAAAACAGAAAAAGTAGAAAAAACTGAAACTCCCGATTCAAAAACAACTGCAAAGACCACTGAAAAACCATCATCAGCAAAAACAGAAGAAAAAACTGAAACTCCAACAGCTACAAAAACAGCTGAAACAAAAGAAACACCATCAGAAACAAAAAAAGTGGAAAAAACTGAAACACCAGATAAAACAGAAAAAGTAGAAAAAACTGAAACTCCCAATTCAAAAACAACCGAAAAGACCACCGAAAAATCATCATCAGAAAAACCAGAAGAAAAAGATGAGGCTCCACCATCTTCATCAGCAACAAAAGTAGAAAAAACTGAAACTCCAAATGCAACAACAACAGCAAAAACAACAGAAACACCATCAGCAACAACAAAAGTAGAAAAAACTGATACTCCAAATGCAACAACAACAACTGCAAAAACTACGGGAAATGCACCACCACCAAATGATAAATCTTCACCACAAGGCGATCAAATCCATGTTAATATTGAAAATGTTCAAAGTGTTGATGAACTTTTAGATCGTGTTGATGAAGCAGTTCAAAAAGTTCCAGTTGTCATTGATTTCTCACCTCAGGCAAATAAAAAACAAGGTTTGTTTTTAATATGATTAAATATATTTAAATAACATTGTTGTTTTTAATATTTCTATAGATGCATCAAAACCCAATAAAGATAATACAACTGAAGTAGAAGTTGTAAAACCTGAAGATGGAAATGCAAGATCTGGTAGTATAGCAGCTTCAATGAAATTTCAAAAACGAAATCCAGAAACCAAAGAAGATAACGAGGACAAAACTGCAACATTTTAAAAAATAATGACTTTTTTTATTGTGTAATGTTTAAATCTTTTTTTTTTATTTACGTTCATAGTTTTTTTTAATTCTGTTTGCTGTCAATAAAACAATCCAGCTTTAATTACATTTCTTCTTGTTATTATTAATATGAATATATGAGAGTTATTTTTTGTATATTAAATAATATAGAGTATTTTATTTCTTATGAGAATCAAAAGCGTTGAGTAGTTTATTAAATATCGATCGATTGATATGCTATTTTATAAAGTGTAATAGCGACATCTTTTTCGATAACGACCATTTCTCTACTTACCTACCTACCAAACATAGATTGTATTCAACACCAATAAATAAACGAAAGATTTTTAATCTATTTTTTGACATTGAAAATTTGAACACAAAAATAAGAACTTTCATAAAAACAAAGTAT